TGTTATAAGCCAGCCCAAGCCCACTCACGATCAGGTTCAATGTCAAGAGCCCATCAAACAACCTTTACAGCAGTGTAACGGTAACAAAGGAAGAAGGCAAAACATGTCAAACGTTGGTCTTCGTACGGGAGTTACAGCAAGGCAAATCCAGCTACATAACCAATTTAATTCCTTGACCACATGTGATGTGACAACTTGAGTAGTGATGTCAGTAGATCTTATCCTTGTATTTCAGCTTTCTATATATTGAAAAAACCATATGTAAAGGAAAGCTAAGTTGAATAATATCAAAACAGAGTTATCTTCTTCACTCCTTTTTTCATTTAAGCTTTTATCCTACTTGGTATCAGATCCAGGTTATAATTGTATCGTGTGAGTTAGTCTACAATGTATAACATATAATTAAAAAAATAATTAGTCAATATAATTTGTCTTTGAGTGCCACTGAAGAATCTCACCTTGTTTGAACCTTATCTTAACGCTTGAGCTCCGACGACCGGTGCATGGTGGCTCTGTCAGCACCGATGTTGGCCCAATCTCCGTCTTTCTTCCTCCTTGCTTTGTCCTAATTTGGTTCATGACTGAGGCTCAATTTTGAGAGATATGCTTCGACCAAATCAATAAAAAAAACTTCAGATCTGTAGTTGATTTTTGATAAAAGCTCCAGATCTGTTGATTAATGGTGTGGCCTAGCTACAAAACTTTTGTTTAGAAATATCAGCCTAAACTTAGTTAGTTCTATTGTGTTGCATATCTCTGGACTTCTTGTGTGGTACACTCCAGTGCCGACCCCAGAAAAAAATTATGTGGGGTCAAAACAATATAAAAAGGTATTAGAAGAGATTTAAACTTATATTTGGGGATTCAGTCATAGCCTTCTCAACTAATATATCAACATATGAATATTACCTACAAAACACAAGTTTTTATAAATTTTTGTGGTGTCAAGTGAATCCATACTCTCTAATGTAAGTCTGCCCCTGGTACACTCTATTTAAGGTTTTATCTAAGTGAGTGGAGTTCGCTATAGATTCCTCTGGAATGTCTTTATGCCGTTTGTGGCATGTGTTCATTGTACTCCGGATTAGGTGTGTTTGGCTCATAGTTGATTGTTCAGATCTCATGGAGATTTGATTTCGATGTGGCTTCATTCATTGGCGTTTATCAGTCTTGTATGACTCGGCCGTTTCTAGATGTTGACAGAATCTGAAGGTGATGTGATAATGGACCAGCTTACTAATGAAGATGATGAGACTCTAGGAGATCCACCTGATGGTACCATGGAGAAGCAAGCTGATGATGAAGTCCTGACCATTCCAGAAGGTCCCATGACCCGAGCTAGAGCTAAGAAGCTCAAGGAGACCATTGGAGGTTTACTCATCACATCTATGCAACAAGAAGGAAGTTTTGGACAAGGTTTGATGATCCGAGATGTCTTGAACACCATTCAAGCTATCTCCCCATCAAACTGAGTAAGTGTTTAGGAAAGACACTTCGTGTGTGCTCTTTTCCTTGTTCTAGGTTTTTTCCCACGAGGTTTTACTGGATGAAAGTTTTTAACGAGGCCATGACTTGTCTTACACATCACCTAAGTGTTATCTCGGTCCAAGACTAGTTGAAGACTTATCTATTTATATCTTATGTTATGTTTTAAGACTAAGGTTTTACTATTCCACATTTCCGTGTCTAAAGGAGCATGTTCCTTTAGTCCTCTATATATATATATGTGTGTACGAGAACCCTAAGAGGTTATGCAATCTTTTTATCAAAACCTTTCTTGTTCATCTTGTCGGCTGCCTTAGTCTCTCAGGTGATCTTCTGGTGTGTAATATCAAGAGTTTAAGGGTGTCTATATCGGTGTGTAATATCCGATCTAGTCATCTAGGAGTATCAAGAGATCTCTCATCCCTCTTGTGTCACCATTCGATCCACAGCCTTGAAGAACTTGAGTCCTTGATTCGTTCTTGCAAGGATCTATCCTCCCATCAACCAAAGAAGCATCCTAGGAGTGTATTAGAAGGATTCTTCCATGCCGGTTTGTGAAGCTTGTGTTATTTGGGTTCTGAGGTGTTTCCTCATTGTACTAGGAGGGAGTGGTTTCCGGTGGTTTGGCAAGGGGCATTCCTATTCAGCATCTTTCATAGATTTTCTATCATTTAAATTCTTATGTTTTGTTGAGAGTGCTACGAGTCTTTTTATTAGTTTAAAGTGTTTGTCTGTAATTGTCCTGGTTCGGGCTTCTGCTTCCCTTTATGGGTTTTAGGTTCCGAAGATATTGTGTTGTTTGTAGGTTTAGCTAACCATAGACATATATTCGTCCGTTGGTCGTGTTTCAGTTTCATATCATCTCATCTATATTATAATCAATTGACGAAAAAATTGTCTTTGACTGCCATTAGGCCTGTAACTTTGAATAAACGGGTCGGTTCCGGGTAGGACCCGTTTGGTTCCGGGTATATCAGTTATTGAGAAGATTTATCCAGTGAGTACTTGACTGATCTTCGGTTCGAATTCGGATCGGTTCGAACCGGTTCCGGATCGGTTCAGATATAAATATATTACAAAACTATATTTTTTTAATTATTTTTCTATTTTTATTTTTTTAATTGTTTTTTTAAAAAAAATTGAAGACAAATTTTATATATATATATTTATAGTTTGAAAGTATCTACTATAAAACTGAAGTGGTCTAGTGATAAAAGCGGCTATACTTTCACCTTACCAACCTGGGTTCAAGGCTTAGTAGGTACAAATCCATGATTGAAACCGCAAGTGGGCTCATTTAAACCTTTTACAATGAAGTTCATAATATATATGCCTGACCTAGAACATTGACTATTTAAGTCATTGATTATGACACTAAATATAAAAATAAATGTACTAAAAACTTTATACTAGGCTTTTTAATCTTTATACGTAAACAAATTTTGACTTTAAATAATAATAATATTTATAAGATTTTTAATCTTTATACGTAAACAAATTTTGACTTTAAATAATAATAATATTTATAAGATTTTAGCATTGTACGTATGGGTACTTTTCAATGAACATTTTTATAAAATTATGTTTTAGTAAATTTGAAATTGTAAATGAACTTTTAATCTCTCATCTCGCCCTTTTTACCAGGTTTGCGCTTAGAGTTTTTAGTTACAGTTACTTACCTGGAGTTTTTAGTGTAATTATGAGTTAAAATAAATCAAAATTAACTGTTATTAGAAGCAATGTTGCTTAATTAAGGACACTAATAGACAACGTTGCTTATGAGCACGTGTCACATCTTAAAGGTTTTCTATCTTCTCCCCTTCTCTCCTTCTAGCCTCCATCCATTCTCCTCTTCCTCGTGACAGTGGATTTTTTCTGGTTGAGGTTTTGCAGAATCCTCGCCACTGTCTAACGAGTAAGTTTCATTCTATGATTCATCTTACAAACCCTATCTGGGTATAATATGTTGATGATTTTACGTCAAAATCAATTTTGTAATATCACAATTTTCTGATTATCAAGATCACAAATTTATGATAATCAAAGTTATTATGTTCTGTTTTTATGAGAAGAAAACAGAGTATATCAATATAAAAGAAACTTAATATTATACACTTGTTTTACTGATCAATATACGTTGTGTTCAAGAGACATTATGAGTTGTTAGGATTAACAAACTTGCAATGGAGGAGAAAAATTATCAGATTGCTTAGATAAATTGTTTACCAAAAAAACTCCTACAATACTATTATTATATAATTAAGCAACTCATTATGAGTTGTTAGGATAATGGTGCTCTTACTCGCTCAAGTATGTTTCTCACTAACTATTTTAGTAATGCATTTAATATTGTTGTTGGTATCTACTTTATTAAAACAGAAATACAAAACCAAACTTAACTTAACTATTTTAAGTGATTTATTACAGACTCTACCTTCTTTGTTTTACTCTTAATAATTATTTTATTCATTGCTTTTATCATAATAATTATGCAAATATTTATTAATTTTTTCCATATGTTTTATCACAGATTTTACCATTAAAATATTACTTACTCATAGATTTCATCATTAATTATCTTTTTTTTATTTAAAACAAATATAAAACTTACCTAATTTTCTATTCTAACTAATTAATACTTCGAATAGTCACTAACAATTTCATATTTATCCTTACACCATAATACAAGTATTTATCGGTATATTTCATGTCTCATTTTCAATAATTATTAAATTTAAATATTCATTATTTATAAAGACGTATAAATAATTAAAATATATATATTTTTTTTCAAAAACCATATATAACTTTAATAAGGCTTTCTCGGTTGTTTTAAATTTACTAAATTAATGGGTTAACCTATTGTATTTTCATAAATAAGAAGTTATATACATCTAAAATATTAAATTTAAATATTTAATATATAATATATAAATTAACCTGTCAATTTATTATTTTACGCATATTTTAATATAAATAATAGACCAATACAAATTCAATATTGTGTAATAAAAATATGGATGGTATATTGGACGGTTCAAAAAAGTTACTCAATGTAAACTATAAAAAATTCTGTATTTAAAAATGACATATTAAACAATTATTTAATACGGATAAACATTAAAAATATAAACTTATAAAAAACAAAAATAGCAACATGCGGATTAAGCTCTAGTATGTTATTATTATTTTTAATATTTATACAAAAATCAGAAAATGAAGGAAAATTATGAATTTGTGATGATGATTGTAAAAGATTAGTTATGGACATCTGTTCTTGAGAATATAAACTAATGTTTTCTATACAGTTAACTAGATTTGTTTATAAAACTGATTTTTTTATAAAGTTAAAAAAAATTTGTTTATTATAAATAATATCATAAAATATATAACATACATGTTTTGAAAAATTAGAGAATTTAATTTCCTTGGACCGGATATACAATACAATAGATATAAACATATATCAACACTAGCTATCCTATTCATGTATAAATATCTCTTTTCTTTTATAGCTTATGTTTGTGGGGAAAGATCGGGACTTATACAAGAGAAACCTTTTGCAATGGGAGAAACACTTCATGGAAAAAACAATGTAGATATCAATACGGAAATGCAACTAGTAGAGCAGAGGTTGAAACAACTCGTTGAACAAGGTTGTTCAGAAGAAGAAACTAAGCATGCCATGAGAGATCTTGGGTTAAAAAGGTTTGTGTTCAAATGCCAAAATTAAAAACTTGATAGATACTATGAATCTGAAGTAATTTGAGACACATGTTGTTCATATACAATTTTAATTAGGGCAAAGCTTTTTGGATTGCCAAACACATATGCCTTCACCAAAGTAATTAATGGCAGAGATGTTTGTTGGACACTATAGAGAAACTATGTCTACTATAATAATACGTCCCACAATGATCACAAGCACTTTCTCGGACCTATTTCCCGGTTGGATTGAAGGCATCAAGTAAGCTACTATTTTTCGTCAATTTGATTGTTATTATAACTTCTCTTGTGGTTACTGTATTTATGAAGAACCGTAGACACTGTGATTGTATCATACGGGAAGGGAATGCTCAAGTGTTTTCTCGTTGATCAAAACACAGCATGTGACATTATAAGTTCATTACCAAGTTTATACATGATAGATCAAAGATTCCATGTTACTAACTTGATTCTAACATGAAAATGTATGCCCATGACAAGATACCCGTCGACATGGTGGCAAATGCAATGATCGCAACAGCAGCTGAACACTTCCATGATTCAGGAAGTCATACCGTTTACCACGTTGCCTCATCTTACCGCAATCCAATAATGTATAAGCAAATTACTAAAATTAGTATTCGTTATTAATTTTAAGAAAAACCCTCTGCTCGGTCGCAGTGGTATGCCTATACTCCCAAAACCTCCAGTACTTTTATCCACAATGGCTATGTTCCGTCTCTACACAAGCCTTCGCTTTAAATTACCTTTACAGGTACATTTACAAATCGCACATGAAGTAGATTTTTCTGTACGAGTTTTTTTTTTACTTTAAATCATTTATCTCATATTTTCTCTGTTTGTTTTTTATTTTCTTTAGATATTGGGGTTACTTAGCATGACACTGCCATCGCAATTTGGAGATAAATATCAACATCAAAACCGTAAATTCAAGATAGCCGTGAGATTGGTTAAACTTTATGAGCCTTATCTACTCTTCAAGGGCATGTATGTCTCTATGACTATCTTTCACATTTCCTCATAATATCCTTGTAGTTTCATTTATTATTTTCTATTTTTATTGGGTGGTGCCGTCTCCATTAGATCTTTCTTTTAATACAGGTCTACTAGATACGTCGTATATTGGAGAGTTAAAGCCTTCTTCAATATACATGATCTACAGTTCTTTTTGTCGTGACTTAATTCACAATTTAACTATAATAGTTTTGAATATATATTGACTTGTAGATTTGATGATAGAAACCTGGAAACATTACGAATCAAGAACGAAGCCAAAGAGATGAACGACTTGCCCCGGTTTAGCCCTAAATGCATTGATTGGGAAGATTATTTCATCAATATACACATCCCTGGCCTCGTTACACACGTACTAAATAAATAAACTCCAGATACAAATATCACATGAAATATCTATGAAAAAGGCATTTGTGTGGAGTCAGATCAAACGGTATTGTATTGTGTGAGTTAAGCCTACATGAGGTATTGTATTGTGTGAGTTAAGCTTACATTAAAGAATAAAGATTAGTCGATATAAGTTGTCTTTGTTTTCATTGCCCTCCTCTATGCTGTATTTGTTTTCACTGCCCTCCTTTATGTACTACGTTGCTTAATAAATGATCCCTCTTAGTAAAAAACAATATAATGTATGATCTCTCATATTTGTAATTTTTGCTGTTAAAGACTTCAGATTTGTTTTTGGTTTATTTATACATATAGTGTTATGCAAATACACATATATGATATATTGATATACATATATCATTATGCCATTAAATTCCACACTTCTTTGCTTGTAATAAAACTAAATGTTTGTCCCGCAGGGTTGATACATCACAAAAACGTATTCGCCATTAATAAAAAAAAAAAAAAAAAAAAAAAAAAAAAAAA